TAGGCCGGTCACTAAAGAGTCTGCTAAGCACGTCTTCGACCGGCGCACCAAAGAATTCCTGGGTGTATTTCTCCCACCACTCACCAAAGGTGTCGGTGCATTGGGTTTCCGGGGTGGCTGGTCGAAGGCGGAATTTTTAGCAGCGCTCTTGGAACTCCTTCACGGCGGTTCTACATTCCTTCTCAGAGGAACGAGGTTCGCGTCCACGGCTTAGGACCGTTCGGGAGGAGAGAAGGGGGATAGGGCAGCCTTGAAGGTAGCCGAGTTGTCGGGCGAGGAAGTTCGGATGATATACTTCCCATCCTGACCGTTTCCCATCGCAGCCGAGAGGGAGGTCGCGGGCAAGCACAAACGACCCCCAGGTCTGACGGAGATCGGCGTCCTCCTCCGCGCTCCATGGGGAGATAGGCAGCCTGATGGAGGAAGGATAGTTTCGACGACGACATATTAGGAACTCGTCTTTGGAGAAGTCGTCGAGAACGAAGAGGTACCGAAATACCTCTTCGGCTTGATGGGGAGGTGTCGGTCGAGAGGCCAGTTGAGACCCAAGCGCCTCTGTTGGTGAGAATTCGGCTATGGCCGGCCGAAGGGAGGCGAAGTATACCTGCAACCAGAGTTGGAAGACCCAGAGAGGACCATTCTGGTGCGGGTCGACCTTTTGTTTTTGGAGGGTCGCCTCGGCCAGGCAGCGGAAAAGTTGGGCGAGAATGTTGGAACTCAGCGCCAAGACGTGACCACTAGCCAGGGCTTCGGTTACCGGCATGTTCTCGACCAAACATTTGTTTGACTTGGTACAACAAATGTATTTGTTATACCAGTAGAAGAGGAAGGCTTCATGTTCTCCCTCTCGCAGGTCCTCTTCTCCTCGGCCGGCGAAGTGAAGATAGAGGGTGTTGTAATTACAGAAGTTCTTGTGGAGCTTCTGAATATCTTCCTTCGACGGGATATGACCGTCACGGCTCAAGGTCTCGAAGGCCCGACGGTCGAAGAGCGTTTTCAGGTCGATATTCGACGGATGCCCAGAGAGGGTCGCGTCGACAGGGATCCCGGTCGCCGAAGTCCCCAGAATGGCAGTAATATCCAGGATGGTGGGACCAATGGGACCCAGAGGGAGGACCATTGTGTTGGTGGCCGAGCACCAGAAGCACAGAGCGGCTTGGAGAAGTTCCTTGTCGGGGACGATTTCCATGGACGAAAGGAGGATGGCGTCGTAGATGCCAAGGGCCTTCCATTGCTCGCCGAAGAGTCGTTCCATTCGAACGACCCAGGCTGCCCAGGATGTGGTCGTCGAGGGCCAGGAGCCCTGGGGTTTAGCCGCATCCCATCGCGACCATTCAAACCCTTGAAGCAAGGGTTTTAGGCAGTGCTCCTGTAGAAGGCCGATGATAGTCGGCGGTATTGTAGCCTTGAAGAGAGGACCCAGGATTTGGTACTGGGTGTTCATGTCGTTTTCAAACCGGATGGTCTTGATCGAGCTCCGATCAAGGATCTTCTGATGTTGGTCACATTCCCTGGAAAGCTTGGAGATGAAGGATGCCATTATGAGAAAGAAGCACGGAGTAAAAGGGTTTTCTGGGTTGGGGATTTAAAGACGAAGACTCGGAATAGGAGAAGCACTAGAAATCAATGGCAGAGAATTTCGGGAAGTTTGAGAGCGTAGAAGTACAAATGAGGAAATTTCGGTATTTATAGAGGTTGTGGGGGGAAGAGCAATCGTTCGAAATTCAAAACAAAGGGCCAAATCGACCGAAGGAATTGTTGATCATGATGAACATTTGGGAAATGCGGTTGAGAAGACCGAAGGTTTTAGGGTTTTGGGGGCGCACGATTGCGTGTGACGGCTAAATTAATGACGAAAAGACGGTTCGACGACCGCACGATGACAAATGGGCTCACCTCACGGACTGAGGTAGTGGCTCGCGGATTGAGATAATGGTCATGATGGCAAGACGGTTCAGGCTGCCGCACGCCTTAGACGTCATTATGTGGGATTGGCCATGTTAGAGGACGCCACGTGGCGAGTAGGTTAGCAGGATCAAGATCGTGCGATCGTGCTCAATAAATGCGCCTTGGAACTCGGGTATGAGGATTCTGAATGGTAGATTCGCTTCTTCAAGGCCGGAACTCGGCCGAAGATTGCAGGCCGAGGACCTCAGAAGCGAGGGGGCAATGTTTGGGCCCAAAAATAATAGTTTGGGCCGAGTGTAGAATCATTCTCGGCCCGGAAGGCCTTGCGACAAGAAGACCATGGATCGTTCAGCTTGTGGGCTTCCAAACCTAGGCCGGTTAGGTCAAAATGCAATGACAAGCCGAGTCCTGATACAATAGGGAGTCTCGGCAGGATTAACAACCTAGAAGCGGATAGGGCTCGAATAAGGACTAGGTTCACAATCCTAATGAAAATAGGACTGGTCGAGGTGATATTGATCCGGAGAGGGAAAACCTAGTCCGAATAGGATTCTATCTCAGATTCAGGGTCCAGTGCTATAAATAGCGGAAGCTGTGCATCAGGAAAAGCCCCACAAAATCAACACAAAATTGCCCTGCGCAAACTCTCACAACTTGAAATCTTTTTCTTTTCCTTTTTCGCTGACACATCTTCCGTTGGCATCAACAGCACTGTGGAAGCAACCGGTGATATCTTAAGTCGGCATAGATAGCTCTGTCACCGTAGAATTGGTCGTCTCGCAGTATCTTCCGTTGGCATCAACAGCACTGCGGCGAGAACGGTCAATTACCTATCCAAGTCTTGGTCGAGAAGGGTTTTCGAATCCTTATTGGTCGAGGTCATCTCATTAGCCTTCTCGGCGAAGTGAGGTGTTACAGTTATTACATTCGGCACATTGAAAGCCGAATTCGGTTCGTGAACTTTGTAAGAGTAGCAGCCTTGTCTTCAGGCTCGAGAACCCAAGAGGCCGAGACGTGTTCCTTTCTCGGCCGCAATCGCAAGACGCAGAAGTCAGTAGCGCGACCCAACGCAACATCATCAAATTTACTCCTCGGCCGAGCCTCGGCCGACGAGTTGGCACGCCCCGCAATCACCGAAGGACGTAGTTAGCTTAGAATATACTCGGCCTGCGCGCCACGTAGGCTTTGTAATTTCTAGGGTCAACAGGTTTAAAAAAATAAAAAATTTAAATAGACCCTAAATCACTTTTAACGTATTATTTATCTTCTTCAACTCTCAAAACCCCACCCACCCTCCATTGTTGAATAAAACTCTAACCAATGAAACTACAAATATGTTGATTGAGAAAAATTATTTTTGACGAATGGAACACGCAATCGGTATTTCGAAATTTTCACATGAGGTAAGACTTCATATTTTTCATTGTTTTAGTGATTTGGACGACATCGATAATTATTTAATTTTAGAACTCAAAAAGATCAGCAACATTGAAGGTAGGAGAAATGCTCATAGAAGAAGGAAGATCCACAACATAAGCATTATCATTAATCTTCTGTAGAATCTTATAGGGTCCATACTTGCGTGGCTTGACCTTGCTGTAAGTCCCGACTGGAAATCTTTCTTTCCTCAAAAACACCATCACAGCATCACCGACCTGAAACACATGGGAACGCCTATGTTGGTCAACCGCCATTTTGTATTTTGCATTTGTCTGTGCCAGACGTTCACAAACCTTTGCCTTAATAGCCTGGATGCTTTCTGCCATCTTTTTAGCAGCAACACTCACACTTGGACCCTTAGGGAGCTTGATGAGGCCCACTACATGCTTGGGGATAGTAGCATACACTAAGGAGAAAGGAGACTTGCCAGTTATGCTGTGAACAACACTGTTGTAGGCAAGTTCAATTTGAGGAAGAGCAAGGTCCCACAAACACTACGAACCATGTTACCCATGGTGCGGTTTGTAACCTCGGTTTGACCATCCGTCTGTGGGTGAGTCGTAGTACTACGCCACAAATCTGTACCAAATAATTTCCACAAGGTAATCCAAAAATGACTGAGAAATGTTGAATCACGATCAGTAGTAATAGACTGAGGCACTCCACATAGTCGCACAATTTCTCGAAAGAAAAGTTGAGCAATGTGGAATCACGGTCATTATTATTGTTATTGAAAGACGTTCAAATGAACCTAAACATTTTTCAAATCATTCAATTTGAAATTATTTGGCAAACTAATGTTTAGATGGTTTGAAATCATTCGGCAAAATAAAAAATGAGTGTTATAAGATTTGAGAAATATGAGGTGTATAAAAAATATGGGGTGTATGTAGAAAATGTATAGTGTATATTGAGAATGTAGGTGTGAGGGTATTATGGGAAATGAAGTGGGGTGTATTAATATAATTTTTAATTGAAAAAGCAAATATGAGGTGTATTAAGTATGTGAAGTTTATTCAACAATTTGTGGGGTGTTAATAAAATAAGCCTATCTTTTATTTCAAAAAATTAAAAAATCTACAAAGCAAAATTGGCATATAACACTAAAAATGAAGTTCCCGTCCATGAAAGTCACATGGGCTGGGCCCACAACCATCCCATAAAAGAGCCCAAAACGACTCTTCGTCCTCCCTTCGCCCTCTCTTTCAACATCCATTCCCCGCCACCGAATCATCCATCACATTTCCCAACCAATCCCGCCGATGGTCCCCACTGGGTCGGCCAACCTGGCAAGAGATTTTTCATTGGGATCGTTATATAGAATGATACATCAAGTGCTATTATATAAATGATGAAATATGTGTGTTAAAAAATTAATAACATAAAAAATAAAAAATTTCACCACTTAGATAAAAACACGTAGTATATCATCTTTCATCACAACTAAAAATTTCTCCAACCCAGCAACTTGTTGACGTGTCGGAAGGAACGACATGACGCGGATACCTGGATATGCACCTCCCAAGGTGCCGCACACTCTAACTGACCAGCAACAGAGCTCCACGTCTCCCCTCCGGTTCCAGCCTCCACCAAATCCCACCCCTCCCCTCACTTTCCCGAACCCTATAAATATCAAACCTCACTTCTCCAATCTTCATATAAATTCGCTTCCATTTATTATTTCTATTTTATTCTATTTTATTCTCTCAAAATATTTAATTTTATTCTTAAAAATGAAAAGTCCGACTCTAACCGGATTGCTGAAGCATGTCGCGGCGGAGTTCCCGAACCACCGCGCCCTTTCCGTTTCCGGAAAATTCGATTTGACCCACGCGCGGTTGCAGGAGCTCGTCGATCACGCCGCCACCCTCTTAATTGCCTCCGGCGTCGCCCCAAACGACACCGTCGCACTCACATTCCCCAACACCGTCGAGGTATCTCATCGTTTTATTTGGTTTCCCAGCATTTTCTCCGCAACCAAACAAGTTTTTTAACTAAAAAATAAAATATATGACGGGTTTTTTCCCCCTTTTTCTGTAGTTTGTTGTGATGTTTTTGGCGGTGATTCGGTGCCGGGCGACAGCGGCGCCGCTTAACGCGGCGTACACGGCGGAAGAGTTCGAGTTCTACCTTTCCGACTCCGAGTCGAAGCTCCTGATCACGCCGGAAGAACCGATTCATGCGGCCAAAGCGGCGTCTTCGAAGCTCAACATTCCTCACTTGACCGCCAACCTGTCCGACGCCGCCAGCCACGTGACTCTCTCATCCGCCGTCGAGGCGAGCCCCGACTCGGTATCGCAACTCGTCAACGACCCGTCCGACGTGGCGATCTTCCTCCACACGTCGGGCACCACGAGCCGGCCCAAGGGAGTCCCCTTGACGCAGCTCAATCTGGCCTCCTCCGTCCAGAACATCAAATCTGTCTACAGACTCACTGAGTCGGACTCGACGGTGGTCGTCCTCCCTTTATTTCACGTCCACGGATTAATCGCCGGGTTATTGAGTTCCTTCTCCGCCGGCGCCGCTGTGGCCCTCCCAGCCGCGGGTCGATTCTCCGCTTCAACCTTTTGGTCCGACATGGTCGCATACAACGCCACGTGGTACACCGCAGTCCCCACCATCCACCAAATCATCCTCGACCGCCACAGCAGCAAACCCGAACCGCAATACCCGAATCTCCGGTTTATCCGGAGCTGCAGCGCCTCGCTGGCTCCGTCTATTTTGGCGCGGCTGGAAGAATCGTTCGGCGCGCCGGTTTTAGAGGCCTATGCGATGACGGAGGCGACCCATTTGATGTGTTCGAATCCGTTACCGGAAGACGGAGCCCACAAGCCCGGGTCAGTGGGTCGACCCGTGGGTCAGGAGCTTGCGATTTTGGACGAGAACGGTGCGATTCAGCCGGAGGGCGTGAACGGCGAGGTTTGCATTAGAGGGCCCAATGTGACTAAAGGGTACAAGAACAACGCAGAAGCGAACAAAGCAGCTTTCTTGTTCGGGTGGTTTCATACTGGGGACATCGGAGTTTTGGATTCCGATGGGTATTTGAGCCTGGTGGGTCGGATTAAGGAGCTGATTAACCGCGGAGGTAACCAGATGAATCCAAAGTGCACTCCAAGGGTTTGATAAAATGCGGCAGTGAAGTGTGGCTGACAATGTGTTTTGTATTGTTGCTTTCAGGGGAGAAGATTTCGCCGATTGAAGTCGATGCAGTGCTTTTGTCACATCCAGAGGTTGCCCAAGGCGTTGCATTTGGAGTTCCTGATGATAAATATGGCGAAGAGGTATAAGCGATGCGACATTTCAAGAAGTCGATATTGTTTGTGCTTGATTATTTACGTATAATGTGTTACGTTTGTAGATTAACTGTGCCGTAATCCCAAGAGAAGGCTCGAGCTTAGACGAGGAACAAGTGATGCGACATTGCAAGAAGAATCTGGCTTCTTTCAAAGTACCCAAGAAGGTGTTCATCACCGACTCTCTTCCGAAAACTGCCACCGGGAAAATCCAACGGCGGATCGTGGGGGAGCACTTCCTTGCACAAATATCCACCGCCAAAGTTCCCAAGTTTGGCGCTTAATTCTACTACAATTCCACCAGCCTAGCACAAGAACATTTTTTAGTTTAATTTTGGCTTAAATGTCAAAATGGTCATGTGTTATAGTCATAGTCATATGGTCAATTTAATTCCCATTTTCAATTTGGCCAAGTTGGTCATCATGTTTATCTTTATTAGTCAATTAAGGACATTTCATTTAACCTCTCGTAAAAAATTCATATGAAAAATTATAAGGAATATAATTACCATTTCTCTTCACATAAACAATCCTAATCAATGAGACATAACACACATGTATAAGAGATAATACTTCCAATCTGAAAAATTATTAAGGTTGACATAAAAAGAAGAGGGGTTATCTTTAGGGAGGAGGTTGGGGAATTGGGAGGAGAATAATTTTTTTTTAATTTTTAATTTTATTTCATTTGAAAATATTTTAAATCAAATAAGTAGTTTTATAAATAAGTTTATAACAATTTATGAAATTTTCAGAGATTATATGACGGTATTTTTTTTTTAATATATCAATATTTTTATACTAAGAAGATGGAGAGTTCTGCTAAACTACACAATGGACAACCTAATTTGATATCGAATTCGCCATTAACGAGATTCGAACCTAAGATCTCTCACTTTCAAATGAAGAGGAATACCATCATAATGTAGTACTAAGTGGCAGATAAAAATATTCTTAATAATACTGAGATCATTTTAACATTTAAGTTTTTAATTTTTTATTGGGTAAATTACATAGTAGCCCTCCAGGTTTGAGGTCTATTGCAATCTTATACAACATCTTTAAAACATTTCACTTTCATACCTCAAGTACTATTTTATTCCAATTTCATACAACCGTTACATTTTCCATCCATGGATCTGTTAAATGCTGACGTGGCTGCCACATATATGCCACGTGGCAAATAAAATAATTTTTTAATTTTTTTAAAAAACCTGAATTTTCTCAAAAAAAAAAAAAAAAAAAAATTGAAACCCACATTTACAAGAAGAAGAAGAGGAGGGAGGAAGAAAGAAAAAGAAAAAAAAAATAGAAACCCACTGCAAGAAGAAGAAGAGGAAGAAGAGGAAGAGGAAGAGGAAGAAGAAGAAGAAGAGGAAGAAGAGATCGGGGTGGGGGGAGGGGTCGCTGGGCGCGGGGGGGGACGGGAGGAGGGTCGTCGGAGGAAGAAAAAAAAAATAGAAACCCAGATCTGCAAGAAGAAGAAGAAGAAGAAGAAGAAGAAGAAGAAGAAGAAGAAGAAGAAGAAGAGGGAGGAAGGGAGCTGGGTCGGGGTGTGGGGGCGCGGGGGGGGGGACGGGAGGAGGGTCGTCGGAGGAAGAAAAAAAAAAAAAACCCAGAAAAAAAAGAAGAAGAAGAAGAAGAAGAAGAGGGAGGAAGGGAGCTGGGTCGGGGTGGGGGGAGGGTCGCTGGGCGCGGGGGGGGGGGGATGGGAGGGGGGTTCTTATTATTCTTCTTCTTCTGGTCGCTGGGGGAGGGACAAATTATTTTTTTTCTTTTCCTCCTTCTGATCGTTGGTTGCTGATGTGGGTTTCAATTTTTTTTTTTGGTTGAGAAAATTCAGGTTTTTAAAAAAAATTAAAAAATTATTTTTTTGTCACGTGGTAGATATTTGGTAACCACGTGGCACAAATGTGGCAGCCACGTCAGCATTTAACGGATTAATGGATGGAAAATCTAACGGATGTATTATATTGAAATAAAATAGTACTTGAGGTATGAAAGTGAAATGTTTTAAAGTTGTTGTATGGGGTTGTAATAAACCTCAAAACCTGAAGGGCTACTGTGTAATTTACCCTTTAAAACACATTGGTGTGACAGTGGCACAATTGTTAACGTGTAGTGGACTGGTGTGCGCGTATTTTATTTGACCACAATGAATATTGACGAGGATGTTGTTTGATTCGACTTTGATTCCCCTGGCTTTGTAGGGCTAGGACTATTTATCTGGGTTGGTTTTGATTCCGAGGGCTCATACTTTGCCACTTTCCAACTCCAAGTCGATCGCCACTTACTCAAATGGTGGCGGCCTTTTTACTTTTATAAGGGAAATGTCTTACTGTAATAATCCACTTTCTTTGGTTGTACCTTCCACAAAACTTGTTTTTTATTTTTTTATATTTAACTGTCACATCATTACTACTTTTCGTATTATAGTACGGAATAATTACTATAGTCAATCTTAAGTGAAAGATTTCTAGTTCATAAAATTTTTATATTTTTCGAAAGTCGATATGATTTTTATTCAAAGCCAAGAAGAGGATAGAATATACTACTCAATACAAGGGATGAAACTATCCTCCTCAATAAAGTCGCAAATCAATACAAGGGATGAAACTATCCTCCTCAATAAAGTCGCAAATCAAAGAGGGAGTTTCATCAAACCTAGCACAATCAGTTCCACAATGGAGGGCAAAACAAACAAGCTTATGAGTTACAAAGTTTGCTTGGCGACGGATGTGGGACGTAGTAGCTTCAGTGATCAAATGTAGCCAAAACTTGACATCTTATATGATAGATTCGATAGTAGACATATTCGTAGAAAACAACTTTAGAGCTGAAATTATTTGTAGCCTACGGGCTATTGAGTTTGCTTGACTAATAACAATATTTATGATCTTGTCATATTGTTGAGAAGCACGCACAACACTATAAGGAGCATTTTTGCTCACCAACCTAAACCTTGGTATATGCTTACTATACATCTAATTATCTATTATGTGTCACTCATTTACACGAAACATAATACCTGTCACACCCCAAAACTTGAGGTGTGAGATTAAGTAAAATAAATAGAACAAAGTGGTCGTTTAAGGATGCAAAACAAATCTCATCTTAAGATTATGTTGACGAAAATTTAAATCCCCCAATTTCCATAAAGTTAAACTACAAAAGTCAATTTAAAGAAATAGAGTTAAAGATCTCATGGTAATACAAACTACAAAAGCGACCTGAACCGTAAAATTCACCGAAAATAGCTTGTTCAACCAAAATGCGTGAAAATTTCCAGATCCAAAATAGACCCATGAAACTAAGTTGTGTCAAAATTTCATTGATTTTCGAGATCGGGAAGTATAGGAAAATGTTAAAACTAAAACAGGCATGCTGCTGTTTTCCTGTAAGAACAATTTTAGCAGTTCCAAATTACTTTGCAAATAAAACTATTTATATTCCAAGGAACAAAAATCTGAATTTTTTTTCAACATACCACTTAGGTAATAGATACACACCCACAGTTTTAAACATAACCAAGCTCATAGTGATTCTTCAAGAGCCGTTCATAAAACCTTACAGATTAAAATAAGTTCACAAAAGACCTTTAGGGCTTCTAACAAGAAAACATTTTCAGGCTATTTGAGGAAAATGTACATGAGCAAAACTATACGAGCCAAAAGACGAGTAGTTATATATACATGGTTTTCATGGCCCAGGTAAGTAGAATCTCCAACCCACTGAGGTCGATATCATTTTAGTCTACTACGCCACAAAAGGATCATTTACAAACAGAAACTAACGATACAAACACTTTGGCAGCTCACCCAAAAGAAGTGTACTCCTGGACTCCCGTCAACTAACCCACATTAGAGCTGCCACTTGAAAATCAGCTAGTCGACTCTACACACCTGAAAGTACATGTTTAGAAAAACGGGGTGAGCATAAAATGCCCAGTAGGGGTAAGTCCGTAGTCATTTAAAATCTCTAGTGCATGCCAAAAGTAATAAAAGTGATTCAAAACAGTTTATTTTCACCACCACGTAATCCAACAAATTGAAATATGCCCAAAAATTTATGGAAAGTAACATGTGACAGAAAAACCAAAGGTTTCGGAGCATTAGCAGCTTGATAACAACGGTACAACACACAAGTTCAAAAATCACTTCTTTTGTCCTAAGAATAACAAAGCCATTATCATTTAAAGAATCACTAGCACACCAAATCACAAAGATCTTCTTTTATCCCAAACAAGTGACAAGCAGATTGGAAAGAACCGTAATATACCTGGCCAATACACATATCACATGTATTTATCACTTTCATAACTCATTCTCACAGCCCCCACACATGGAGCTTTCCCTGGGGAACCTTGGGTCACTGTGCCCATAATCAAACAAATTCATGGGTCATTGTGCCCATTCATACATTTCTCAACATTCTCAACTGCACATGTATTACACCACTGTCCATCTACTTTCACAATTTGACATTCGTATTGAGATGCTTCAGTATTTGGTATTGAGTAAAATAAGAGGCATGCACATCAAAACAAAATCTTGAAAAATCATTTCAATCACTTTAAACTCACCAAAGTTTTAGTAACGGAATTCGAATCATTAAGATCAAACCATATTGAAATATTTTCTTCACTTCTTTCACATAATCGAAAAAGAAAACATTTTAAGTAAGCTTCAAATAATGCTCAAATGCCATCAATCCTTGATCAAGTAAAAAATGAAAAACCAAAATATTTTATTTTTGATTAAAACTCCCCTACCTCAACACAATTTCTTGATATTCAACTTCCAGGGTGTTCGTCGACTTGTGTCATCCCCTTGTCCTTCTCTTCCTTATCTATAAACAAGAAAAATCATTACACACCACTTATACAAATATCTAACAATATACCCTAATTCAAGGTTAATTGGGGACTTAAATCAAACACTTGGTGCTCAACTCTAAAACTATAACATGAACTATGATACCTTCATGTTCTTTTACTCCCACCCAAACTAATTCATGGGTTAACAAACCATAAAAATCAAATAGATCCCAAAGGTAAGAAATGGATACCTTAAATGGAGACAAAGGAAAGATCCTCACTTGTTCTAATCTTCACTAGTAAAGAAAACTAAACTCATCTTCCTTAGATTTCCTTTTGGACAAGTGAAGAGCTAAAAGGGGTAAACCCCCTTCATTACTTTCGGCTGGAGGGAAGGCAGGAAGGGAAAATAGGGATTTCTAGAACCCATCCCTTTTTTTTTTATCCCAAACGTCAACTTTACCTTTTTTTTTCTTTATATATATATATATATATATATATATTTTTTTTTTTTTTAATGGCCAAAGGCCAATTGATCTAACCTCAAATAAGGCAAATCAATTTTTGCTAACAAAGATCACAAGTGATTCACTCTTATTTGGCTAGTTGATATTTACAATACCCGCTGCAACATTTGGATCATGGGCACCTACATAATTAACACATTTTCAGCTAACAAATTTCTCAATGTAAATATCAACTAGCCAAATAAAAGTTGCAAGTGCAAGAAAATAGGACCAAACGGATTTCAATGTAAATATGTTTAATTATTATTAAATTAATATTCAAAGCAATAAGTTTTCTGGTAAAGATGTTGGTCAACCAGAGTTGGAAACTAAAGTTTTCCCATGGTCACTATTCTGAGCACGAGAGCAAGTCATAACACAAACATTGTGGTCCATTTTATAGATATTAGAGGAGAGGTGTGACACTCTGTCCCTACTTTTACGATTTTTATTTTATTTTTAAAAGCGTGAATTGACAAAAATGCCCTAGAGGCGAGATTATTGATTTTTGTTGACTGTTAGTTCATGACACTTATGAACTATTACTTTATCATATTCCAAAAGTACTCGATGGTGCGAACGTGCACGCAAGCAGAATTGAAATCGGAACTATGACGGAGGTTTTACGGAACTATAAATTCGAAAAGTACTTTTGTAAAGACTACTATTTATTATTTTATATATTTCTCATAATTACTATATTATTATTTTAACATTATTTTGTTATTATATTATTATTTTAAAATTAGTTGAAAGAAATGAGAGTGATGAACGAAGAAGAGTAAGGGAGGATGAGAGTTTCAGGAGGGGAAAGAAAGGGGGTGGTGGCGAATCGGGAGAGGAGAGAGAAAGAGGCTGCCCAATGGAGAGAGAAGGAAAGGAGGGGAAGGGAGAGAGTGAGAAGCTACGGATTTTCCCATCCTCGCCCATTTCTCCTTACGACCTGATTGCAACCCGAAGGGTTACATGATTTCGACGGGATTTTCATCGAATTCTTCGGCGAAAATTGGCAAACCACCACCACCATACACCTTAGAGCCATCCAAGCTTCCAATTTCATCCAAACCCAACTGGGTTTAACCCCAGTTTCGAGAGAACCGCACCGATGGATGCGACAGACACTTGTGGTAATCCATCCATTTCCAAAACACTTACCTTCAATCACCACCACCAAACACTTCTTTGGAGACCAGGAACAAAGCCCAAACAATGGTGGAGGCGTTGGAGCGGGTATGGAGGTCGATTTGAAGCACACCCAAAACTAGGGTTCCGACCGTTCGTGGGAAAATTCAGGCGTTTCCTGCCCGAATTGGACTTCAGCTCAGGTATGAAAGTTGTTCCCCTTGGCTTGTTCTACATTTCTGTGAAATTTGAGAATTTTTGGAATTAGTTGAATTTTCCGGCGAGTCAGGACAATCGGCTGCCGCATCCAGCTACGCATGGACAAAGACACCACTTAACCTCCCCAAGCTAAAATGGGTACCTCAATTCCATATTAGACATCTGATTGACAAAATTCCATTGTTTGGTTATATTTCCGTTAAGAGCTGCCACTTGGTTATTATATGATTTGACAATCCGACAATTGGATTGTAACCAAACTTTAATACGTAATAGTACATAATATTTGAAGATTTTAGGAACTGACGGATCGAGAATATGACGTATGGATCTTCCCAGATGGGTTTTCTAAGTTTGTAAATCTAAATGTCGGTCGTCATTTAATTTTAGCGATTGGCGGAGATCCGACCGTTGGATCATTCCGAAACTTTAAGATGATGTTCTAGAAGCTTAATGAAACTTTGGGAAGTTATGGATCAGAAATTCGAGGTGTGGATCTTCAGGATCGAGTTATGTATGGTTGTGGACCCTACCGTCGACCTTTGACCGACGATTGACTTTTGGTCAATGGGTTACAAATCATTCTAGAACATCCTTCGGGATATCTTTTATGTAAGTTACGTGTTCTATTGATAAGAATTCTAAGATGTGATTTGATAGTTGTTCTAAGCGACGATCGTTCGTGACTCCTCGATATTCATGCTAGGGAGTTGTAGCACGGACTTCAAGTGAGTGGGTCTTTTCTTTTATATAGTATATACGTATTTGTTAGTTTCCATTTATAAATTGAAATAGAATTTACTACGTATGCCTAGCTTATAGACTAACGCTTATAAGAATTAGCGAAATAACGAAAAATTACGAAGTGATCATAAATTCTATGGGATGCATATGTATGCGTATGTTTATTGATACCATGAATATACCTACGACTATGAATGATATTATGCTGATTAGAATTATCGAACCACTATGGCATGACTATATTTGTTGATGCACAAAACTAGTGAGGACTTTGGTATAACAGAAAGTGTCAAGTTTGTGACCTTCGCTAGATTGCTCCGGTCGCTAGTATGGATAGGTATGTAAATGGACAGAAACAGGGAAGCAAACACAAGATGTATGTGGTTCACCCAGATTGTCTACGTCTATGGAGTAGAGGAGTTCTCATTAATTGTGAAGGGTTTACACAAGTACATAGGTTCAAGGTCTCCTTTAGTAAGTTCTAGTGAATGATTTAGTACAAATGACATTAGAAAATATTGTGAGAGAATGATCTCCTTTTATAGAAGAGAGTCTCTAGCTTTGTTTTGACTTTGACACGTGTCGTGCTTTGATTGGCCTCTGATGTTAACACGTGTCGCGTTATGATTGGCCTTTGATGTCGACACGTGTCACGCTATGATTGGCCTCCTGGTTGGAAGGAGATTCTTATGGATCCTTGGTGGTATAACGTTGATCAGTGCTCAGTAGTTTTGGGATTGGTCAAGTATGGTACAAACAGTGCTCCCCTAAGTTCCCGAGTGAGAGAATCTCATCGGTTAGGGACTTGCAAGATCCAAGCCATTGAGTAATCATGAAACTTCTAACTAACGAAGTGTGGTATCATTTTTCACTTGCCTTATTTGTCTTGTTTATACCATATTTAGGGCCTCCGCATTTAGACCTCGTACAAATACTCGGGGGACTTAAATGTAATTATGTGATAAAGGAAGGGGCAAATATGTAATAAGTGAGGAGTCCTTATTCTATAAAAGGACCCCTCACCCTCACAATTACAGGAGGCTATTTCTGGAGCCTTCTCACCCCCTCTCACATCTCCTCTCATTACAGTGGTTCTCTCCCTCACCTCTCAGAAAATACAATACAATCAGTGTGGACGTAGCCTAAACCTTGGGGTGAACCACGATACATCTTGTGTTATTTACATTTGCAGATTCAAGGTCGGATTTATGTTGTTCCAAGACCTTCGATTTTGTGCATCAACATTTGGCGCCGTCTGTGGAAATCGACACGAAAAGCTATGTCGGTTCTCTTTCATTTTTTCACCTCCACCGTGAATCTGCAAAATCACGAAAACTCAGAAACCCAATAACCTTTATCTCTGTCTCGTACTTTCATTTCATTTCCTCGACTGTTCACCACCTGAAGTCTAGTCAAATCCACTGAAATCATCAGAGCAGGCAGCAGGCAGCATGCAGTAGGCAGTAGGCAATAAGCAAGCCTCATTTTTTATGCTTTACTTTTGAGGTTGGTTTGTTTGAGAGTCTTCTCCTTCTGGTGGGATGAGTTGGAATCCAACTTCACAAAAGCGCTCGTCGCGGTACAGTTCGTACGATGCCCGCTCTTCAACGTCCTCGCACTTCTCCGACCCCTCGTCTTCCAGAAAGCTCAAGCACCCCGCTTCCTCACGCGCCATTGTCAAATCCAAGCCCTCGGATCCCAACATCTCCACGATGGTAAAAAAGTTCATGGAAAAGTGGTCTAACGTCCAAGTTCAAAGCAGACAGAAAGATAGAGAGGGAGAAATCGCCACCACGAAAAATGGCTTCCTTCGACGCGTTCAGCATGGACGACGACAATCTCCATGCTTCCAACAACCACTTTGACCTGGACGACGTCGTCATCGAGAGCTACGCTGACTACGGCTCCTACACCGACCGCGCTGCCGCTGTCCCCGCCTCCCTGGATATTTCCAAATTCAAAGATCCCAGCGCACTCGTCAATGGGCTGCGCTTCATCGAAACTGTTCAAGAAAGAAGACAACAATGGTGGTGGCGAATACGTCATCAACCACGTCAACTTTCTCATTTTCAGCATTTATGACGTTCTGAACCTCGAAAATGGCCAACAACTCATCAAAGATTGCATGGCAGAGAGCAAGAGGGTCGCGATGAAATCTTCACCGCATCGGGAAGATTCGGAGGTTATCAACGCCTGGGGAACTCATGAAGGGGCTCGAAGAAAGACGAGACATGCAGCAGCAACAGCATGCCGATAGCATCACTATCTTCTCATCTCTCTCCTCTGACGGACGAGACATGCAGCAGCAACAGCGACCAATGTCAACTCAATCACTGTCTCCCTGACAATGAAAAACCAAGATGCATGCCGATAGCTCACCAGTTTTCGGCCATGGCCAAACTATTTGTGTCATTGGAGCTGGAAACTGTTTGGGAACAGGAAGTCTGAGATCACTGCGAAGCGTCCCCTTCAGGCGGAGGTCATTCCCGTCTTACCCTTCAGGCGGAGATCCAACTCTACTTCCATTGCCTCTAGAATAGCAGCAACAACAAATGATCCTGGTTCTTGCGTTGAGAAGAGAGAAAGTGAGGAGAGAGAGACTTCAATCTTCTTCCTTTCTTGTTGTTAATTTCTATCAATACGTGCTCATACAATCTGAAGATGAGGAAGTCGACGAATGAGGTAACAGTGTTACAACGGCGTTTTGTCTATTAGGTTAGTGTTACGAGTGGAAGAGGATGAGGATACGAGATCAGGGGAAAGGAATAAAAAAAACAAGATCATGATGGTGTTGGGAGAATATTTCAGAAACAGGAAAAGTAAAAGGCAATGGCTGGCCACAGTAGTGCAACTTTGTGGTTTTCCCATCATCCTTCCCTACTTTTTCTTCCCAGCAAGTAGAAAGAATCCAACCCCTGCAGTTTTGAAAAGCAGAAAAGTA